GAACATCAATTCATTTCTGTATATTTGAAATACACAGTTACAATGACATACACAAGTAGACTGGTATAAAATGACTTAATTCATGTTTCCCTCAAACCCATTTTACCCCAAATCAACTATGCTCCGTTGTTATGCAGATTGTGTTGTCTTCTGAGATATTTTAACATTAAATTATTTCAATTAATTATTATATATCATAATTAACACAGATTTGATAATCATACAAGGAAGAAGTAGGAGTTAACAATACAGTATTATAATGGTATACTCATAAAATATGTCCTCCCCTCTTCCTTACCAAGTAGGTCAGTTGTTTAGGATCAAAAATATATCACCACGACTGACTAGCAATATCTTGAAAATATGATAACCACGCTTGTGGTGAGAGAATTGTAATAAAAAAGGACTTTATTCATGCACAGTGCATTCGGAAAGTATTCAGACCCCTTCACTTTTTCCACATTTTGAAACGTTACAACCTTATTCTAAAATTGATTAAATTGTTTTTTCCCTCATCAATCTACACACAATACCCCATAATAACAAAACAAAAACAGGTTTTTAGAAGAAATCTTTGCAAATGTATTAAAAATAAAAAGCTGAAATACACATTTACATAAGTATTCAGACCGTTTACTCAGTACTTTGTTGAAGCACCTTTGGCAGCGATTACAGCCTCAAGTCTTCTTGGGTATGACGCTACAAGCTTGGCACACCTGTATTTGGGGAGTTTCTCCCATTACTCTCTGCAGATCCTCTCAAGCTCTGTCAGGTTGGATGGGGAGCGTTGCTGCACAGCTATTTCCAGGTCTCTCCAGAGATGTTCGATCGGGTTCAAGTCCGGGCTCTGGCTGGGCCACTCAAGGACATTCAGAGACTTGTCCCAAAGCCACTCCTGCGTTGTCTTGGCTGTGTGCTTTGGATCGTTGTCCTGTTGGAAGGTGAACCTTCGCCCCAGTCTGAGGTCCTGAGCGCTCTGGAGCAGGTTTTCATCAAGGATCTCTCTGTACTTTGTTCCGTTTATCTTTCCCTCGATCTTGACTAGTCTCCCAGTCCCTGCTGCTGAAAAACATCCCCACAGCATGATGCTGCCACCACCATGTTTCACCATAGGGATGGTGCCAGGTTTCCTCCAGATGTGACGCTTGGCATTCAGGCCAAGGAGTTCAATCTTGATTTCATCAGACAAGAGAATTCTGTTTCTCATGGGCTGAGAGTCCTTTAGGTGCCTTTTGGCAAACTCCAAGCGGCTGTCATGTGCCTTTTACTGAGGAGTGGCTTCCGTCTGGCCACTCTGTCTGGCCACTCACCTCCCTGACCAAGGCCCTTCTCCCCCGATTGCTCAGTTTGGCCGGGCGGTCAGCTCTAGGAAGAGTCTTGGGTGGTTCCACACTTCTTCCATTTAAGAATGATGGAGGCCACTGTGTTCTTGGGGACCTTCAATGCTGCAGAAATGTTTTGGTACTCTTCCCCAGATCTGTGCCTCGACACAATCCTGTTTCGGAGCTCTACGGACAATTCCTTAGACCTCATGGCTTGGTTTTTGCTCTGACATGCACTGCCAACTGTGGGACCTTATGTAGACAGATGTGTGCCTTTCCAAATCATATCCAATCAATTGAATTTACCACAGGTGGACTCCAATCAAGTTGTAGAAACATCTCAAGGATGATCAATGGAAACAGGATGCACCTGAGCTCAATTTCGAGTCTCATAGCAAAGGGTCTGAATACTTATGTAAATAAGGTATATCTTGTTTTTATTTGTAATACATTTGCAAAAATGTCAAAAAACATGTTTTCGCTTAGTCATTATGGGGTATTGTGCGTAGATTGATGAGGATTTTTTATTTATTGAATCCATTTTAGAATATGGCTGTAACCCCCTAAAAAAATTCAATAAAATAACAAATAAAATAACAAATGCTGTAATGAATCAAAATGTGAAAAAAGTAAAGGGGTCTGAATACTTTCCGAATGCACTGTATGTGGCCTGTTTTCTTCACAGTTTACCTCAAATTCACCTCACTTCTGTGTAGTTGATGCTGGACAAGCTAAATTGCATACATTCATGTACACATTTTCTATCATTATTACTGGAATTGGGATTCAATCCGATGGCGCATTGTAGAACACTTGACATTTTAATAATTTCCATTTGAGCGGACTTATGCAGCGTTCACCGTGAATGTGGTCTCTGTGAACACAGGAGCATTGTCTTTAAAAGGCGCGTTGTCAACAACGTCCGATTGAATTGAATACCGGCATATATTAATATCACATTTCCAGTCACAAATTAACTCACCTCTGTGTAGTGGGTTCTGGATAAGCTAGGTTGCATGTATTGTTTTGCTACAGAGCAATTCCACGGTAACAGAGTTGCTCTGAGACTAAAATGTATGCCAAATAAAAACCATTGATTTCAAAGTTCAACAAACCAAACAACTTTATGCACAAGGACTACTTTTTACACCGACAATTTAACAAAAGCACATTTACTGGAAGAACTGTGCAGATGCAAAGTTTGGTAACAGAATCTTGGTAAAATCTTCCTCAGTTTTGTGTGTCCACAATTGCCAAAAACTCTGTTAAATATCTGCTCCGAATTAAGATTCAACTATGTCTGCAGAAAGAATGCGGTTCCAGCGATGACATGACACATTGACTTAGAAAAATCTCTTTTGGTTATTGAACTACAGTAAGTGAAGTGGATTCACACCCAGTAATGGAATTGCGGTAACGGAATTTCATCATGCGTCGCTGATCTGTACTACACAGAAATTAATAATTATGGATATGAAAGTCATTCTCTTCAGGGTGATGTATCCTAAATAGGTACACAAAGGTATGAGTATGCATTATCCTCCTTTGGATTTTGGGGCATTATTCTACACACTGGCTGTTATTGTAATGAGCTCTGCCCCCAAAACAAGACCAAATTTGGTTGGTCCGGACCAGACCAAATCTGAACCAATCATAGACGTCTATGTTTCACAAGTTTGGACATCAAAGTACAGCACAGTAGACTACAGTTCAGTACAGTACAATACAGTACATTAGTGTACATTAGTGAACATTCTCTCAAACTAAATAGAAGTGTTGATATCAGTTGGCAGGGGTCTTTACTTGAACATTATTGTGTTTTGATGTATTTCTAATACTTTTAAGACTTTTCTGGTAGATGTTTTCTAAGACCCCTTTTCCACCTGTTTGACCAGAAATCAAAACCTTAGCTTATTCCAATTTTTTGGGCTGGAAAATGGTTGAAAATGTAGATATGCCTTCATTTCTAAATAATATAGACTCTTAGCTTTCATTTGACACCCTCCTATGAACTTCACATGTTGGCACTCATTGGTCCTTTCACATGGAAATGACCTACACAAGATCTCTTAGGACTTCCTATTTGGAATATGTCTGCTTGCCTGAGTTACCGTAGTGCTGTGCATTATCCCTCTGCTCGGCCTTCCTGAGTCTACAGGCCTATGAAAAAGCCTGCCACCTCTTGAGCAGGACAGGGGGCTGTAGTTGGGGGCTGTGTGTGTGTGTGTGTGTGTGTGTGTGTAGGGAGGGTGGGGGGAGCAGCCATAAAAACCCATGCAGGAGGACACCGGCACAAGGATTTATTTCACACACACCAAGCTCATGTTTACGCCTGCACACTGCACAAGTGGGAGCTTATGAGGGAGGTATTGTACACATGAGGCAGGGAGGTGTGTGTGTGTACATTTCAGTGTGGGTAGCTGCAGTCTGTGGATGTGTGTGCAGACGGACATGACTGAAGCTGTGTTTACACAGGCAGCCCAATTCATTTTTACTTTACACAAATTGGTTTTTTCACCAATCACATCAGATCTTTTCACATCAGATCTTTTTCAGAGCTGATCTGATTGGTCAAAAGACCAATTAGTGAGAATTGGGCTGCCTGTCTAAACGCAGTCTGAGTGTGGCTGTGTGCCTATCTGGGCTTCTGTATCAGTGTGACAGTGGTGCTTGTATTCCTCTGTGTGTGTGTGTGTGTGTGTGTGTGTGCACTGCATGCGTGCATTCATGTGTACAGTATGTACCTGTAAATAATAATGTATACAGTTGTGTTGTGTACATCTGCATGTGCATTAGGAGTCTCCGTATGTGTATGTGAGTACATGCATGAATGTGGAAGTGACTCCACCCTGGAGCAATGTACCGAATTTGCTGTAGAACCTCCTGTGGGGCTGGGGGGAAGCCCATGCAGGCTGTGTAATGGCAGAAGGAGAGCAGAACTTGGTGAGCGTCACAACGGCCCATAGCCTCTCCATCTTCTCCCTCTCAAAAGACTCCATTGTTCCCTGTGTGGAGGGAGAGAGCAGAGCTAAAGGGGGATGAAGCCGGCGGACTGGGGGCGGCTGGGGCAGTGGGTTTTGGGTTTTGGGACGCTGCCTAAAACTACATGGAGGAGAGTGCAAGACACAGGCCAGCTCTGTGTGCCTCACAGCTCACTGTTGGAGCGCTGCCCAGGGTTAGCAGTGCCGTACGAAAAACTCCACAACACAACATGAAAAACACACCTAACCGTCAGAGAACCACCCTGGGTGGCGAGAGCTAACGGACTCAGCAGTCTCAGGCAGTCCATACAGGACCGCATTTGGCCGTAGTTGGTCTTGATTCAGGGGTGTGGTCATTTTGTGCATTACCTGACTGGACCAATCAGCTTTCGCTGCAGACTTCTACCCCTGTGCATGCTGGGTAGTGGTGTGTGCTGCTTTTACACTAAAGATTGTGTGGAAACAGTTTGGTGTAAAAAGCACAGTGTTATGAGTAAATTAATTACTTGCTGTGTCACCAGCTCTTGTTTGGCTTGTCGAGATTTTGGGGACAATTACTTGGGAATTTGTTGACTTTAGACAGTGTCATGGAAACTTAATTTGATAAGCAACAGCCCAAAAACAATGGAGCAACAAAGACAATACAACGTCTGAATTCTACCATCACCCATAAAAATAAAAACATGTCGCAAGCCAGTGTATATTTGTGGAGTGTTTTCACTTGTTTATTGAAACAGTATGAACAAAAACACTGCAATTAAATAAAAGAAAAAATCTGACAGTAAAATGAAAAACCTAGATCTGATAATATGGAGCAAAAGCGGAAACAAACGTCGTTGCAAACAGTTGCAGTGTCTAAAGCGGAGTCATTAAACAATTATCATCACTCATTCAGTGCAATTATTAACTGAGTTCTTAAAGCAAGCGGAGCTAAGCTGAGACTGAATAATTTTTACACCCATTAATGTCCACTAACGATTATGAAGAAAATTTAGACATTGCTGCCTAAAACTGTGCACCTAAAACTGGGTGCAACCATGGAAGTCAAAACATCCTTTGCATGCATTCAGGGGGGAACTTGTATTTAAATATTGTGTGTGTTTGCTTGGTATACTCTATCCCAACTAAAGTAAGCAGAAGTACAGTAAATACATTGTAAAGGACAACGCTACCAGAATGGGGGCTTTTGTGAAAACCTGAAGTCGTCAAAGCTGTCCTATTGGAATGGGGGGCAGTTAAAGTACAGTCAATTCACATTAATGCACTCCAAAAGTCAAATCTCCAAACTAGCCAGGGAATACCAGAGACAGTGGCACAAACCCTTCTGCAAAATTTCACGGATATGTATTACGTTTTTATATGTCAGTGTTAAAGCTGGCAGAATGTCACGTTACACTTGCAAATGAGGCGTCTTTTCATCAGCCCCTCACTAACCCTCAGAACATGAGCACAATGTCGAAACAACTTCTGCAAACAGTGCTTCATACAGTTGTTGAACATTTTGGTAGCTAGGGACTCATTGGCTAGGTGTTAAGGTGAGAAAATACTATGTGGATGTGGTTCAGTTGGGTCCATTGGCCACAATTGCCTATGGCTGCTTTGCAATGTTCCATTAACTGAATGCTATAATGAGCAACTGCAACATATAATCAAGTTATAACTGTAGTCCCTTTGCATGGTATATACACCCTATTAAATTCACAACATTCTCTCCCGCCTTTTTTCTTCTGTATTCACCTTTTTATTTTTATTTTGTATGTTTCTTTGTGTCGTGTGTTTAGGTCCTCTTCACCAACTCAAATGCAAATCGGAATGAATGTACACACCACTGCATAAGAGAGAGCGTTTTCTACCACAAGTTAGATAATCCCTTACTTTCTTTATTTTTACAAACACAAAAATCCTGAAATTCACTGTGACATCCTGTGGGTCACGGTCAACCCCCCCCCCCCGTTTGGTTATTGGTGTGGAGGGTTGCTGTGTGGTTGGGCGCAGGACCATTGATATCAATGGCCCTGTCTGGGGGTTGGGGGAGAAGAGGGGAAGTGGGCAAACATCCTCCCCCTCCTTTTGGCAACAGTCCAAGTGCTGGTAGCATGCTTGTTTAATGACAGGAAATTACGTAGTTCAGCAGTTCAGAATTGCCAGAACTTTTTGGGGACTTCCTGTCTTGCAGCCTTTCTCCTCAGGGGCTGAGGGATGAAGAGAGAAGGAGAAAGAGAGTGTAAGACACACAGGCCAACACATATACACACAAAACAAAATCTGGTAATGGCTCATAAAAATTTCAGTTGATGATTGAAAAAGATGGTTTGGAAAAATAATATCTAAAAAGTTGCTTGGTTTAGGATTTTAAAGATAACACAGCACATGGAGAACATTAACTTTAGTAGATTTTTCATGAAATGTCATAATTCGTAGGGGGAGTCACCATTGACCCCAAAATGAGGAAATAAAAACATGGGTGATTGTAATTTAGTTAATTCAAAAGTCACACATATACAGGAGGTTATCTTAGTTATGGACACTACAGACATTCGGCTTGTATAAGGATATAGTTTGTTTTGAATGGTTTTAAGGATAAACATACTTTAAATAACGGTTTAGGTCAAATTGGAACAATTAAAAAATCTAAAGCGTTTCAAAATGGACCAACGACAAATCTCCTTGAATTAGTTATCAGGATAACACATTCAAGATGACAGCCTTGAGTTGCTACTCCGCTTCGAACCATTAAGCCATTGAGACAGGAAGCATAATCAACCGGAACTGATGATGTAAAGTCAAACAGCTGGGAAAGCATTTGTGAAATGGACCCACTAAGTCCATACATGAGCCTTTTGACCGAAATTGAAGCGCGAATAGAGCCACTTCTTTCACTGAATGAACAATGCCTGATGGCTCATTGGCCCATGAGTGGATGTCTCAGAGAGCAGTAGCAACCAACAGCCTGTCGATCGGCGACGGACAGACACATAACAAAGAATTCATCCCAAATGGCACCTATTCCCCTTTAAAGTACACTACTTTTGACCAAAGCCCTATGGGCCCTGATCAAAAGTAGTGCACTATAAAGGGAATAGGGTCCTCTTATTTTCCTTTGTTATGTGTCAGTGACTTTGAACCACAGAGAGTCGTAGAGTTAAGATGATTAACTGGGAAAATAATCAAAGAGAAAATTACAGAAACCAAGATGCTCTCTTTTGTGTCAGCCTTTTTCTTAGCAGCAGCAGCCCTATGGCATAAAAAACGTTCCCTGTTAGCAGGCAAGCACATCCCCAAACATGACAGTATTCTCAGAGGAAACATTTGAAACATTTATAAATAAAACGTCCTTTTTAAAGGAATACGGACACTTCTATTTGAATCTATGATTCAAATGTGTTATGTTCAGAGGACCAGTTATGGTTGAAAAGTGATGCAGGTTGTCTTATCTATTAAACCACGTGCTTGGTAACAACCATTACACCCACTTCACCATAGTAGTTCGGGATTTTGGCAATGAAGCCCTTTATCTACTTTCCCAGAGTCAGATGAACTTGTGGATAGCAAACAGTGGTGGCTACTGAGGGCTGGACGGCTCATAATAATGGCTGGAATGGCGCGAATGGAATCGCATCAAACACATGGAAACCATATATTTGATACCATTCCACTAATTCCGCTCCAGCCGTTACCACGAGCCCATCCTCCCCAATTCAGGTGCCACCAACCTCCTGTGATAGCAAATGTTATATCTCTGTGTCCAGTATGATGGATGCTAACTGATCCCAAAGACTTTCAGTGTTTTCGCTAAGCTAGTTAGCATTGGCTTGCTAAACTACCTTTAACTATCCTCATACTGGATGCAGAGTTAATTTTAAAAATGGTATCCATGAGTTAATCTGACTCTGGGGAAGTAGAGAAAGGGCTTCATTGCCAAAATCCCAAACTAACCCTTTCAAGTACATGCATAAGTTGTGAAAATGAGAGTATTGTGCATGGTTTTATACAGTAGTAGCTTCACGCTTCTACAGCATGCTTAGTCCTCTACTAAGATCACAACAAGGCAAACAGGACATGCAGAGTGCGTGTGTGTGCATGCGTACATGTGCATATGAGCATGTGTGTGTATCAATAGAAATAGAGTGACCAATTCTAGTTCAATGGGTGTATCCCTTGGAGGTACTTACGAGTATTTGCCCATTCTCCTCACCAAGGCAATCACCACAGCGATGACAATGATCACTGCCACCAATGCGCCAATCACAATACCCACCACTTGTCCAGAGCCAGTGCTCTCTGTGGAAGGAACACAAAGACCGAGTTACCCCACCAGACTGACCTCGATAGGGAATCAACAACACGTTTGGTGAAAGAACAGGAAGGAAACAGAGAGAAGGTAAAAATGAATGGAAAGAGGGAAACAGAGCAAAGACAAAAAATTAGACAATCAACTAAAAGGCAAGGATAGAAATGAAGAGACCAGGGGGCAGAGCAATCTCATGGTGTCTTGAGCTCTATATATCATTGCCCCTCTATTTGATTCCCGCCTATGGGAGCACAGACAGACTGTAGCATTGATATATTTGTAGCTGATATCTCCTATCCTTACCCTCAGGCTCCTCCACCACCAACTCCTCCTCAGCCTCTGCCGTGGTCTCGGCTTCGGGATACGCCGGGGCCATGGTGACGACAACAGGGGCCTCCGTTGTGGCCGCCTCCTGCTCGGCAGCCTCAGTGGTGGAGGCAGGGGCTTCGGTCTCCACGGGAGCGGTCTCCGTCACCTCAGAGGCAGCCCCATTGGCCTCGGTAGCGACAGGATTTTCGGTGGCAGGGGCTTCCGCTATGACCTCCTCGGCCGCAGTCTTGGGTTCAGCCGTGGGGGCGTCGGTGGCGGCTTCTTCTTTGAGGGCCTCGGTGGCAGCAGGGGTATCTGACACCCAGTCTAATGGTGTCACCAGTGTGCCTGAGGGGCAGCAAAGAGAGGTCAGAGGCTGGTAGAGGCAAATTAACTATATTCACACACGCTGAAGAGAAGGGCTACCACTTGTGATTGGATACATGACAATTGAGGTGAATTACTTTTTGAACACGACCATAAACTTTACTCTCTGTCATTTCGCAATCGTTTTGAAATGTATTCGCTGGAAAGAGGGGACAACAGTTGGAAAGTCCTTCAGTGCAAGGACATTGTGGGAAAACTAAAGAAAAAACGACGTAAATATGAACACTCTTCCTTGACATCTATTTTTCCTCTCCCAGCCCATGGCTTGACTCATCAGTAGCAGTGAGAACATGGCTGCCACACCCCATGACTGAACAAATGTTGGTCCTCCCTCCTCCCTTGTCCCATCCAACCTGCCCCTCTCCGTCCTGTCTTGGGCCGTGTTTGCGCACGTGCATGCCTCATCCGCTGCCTCATTTCCTGTTCATGGAGTCTCCGCCATAACAGCCCCTGGATGGGGATGGCAGGAAGTCAGCATATGAGGCCATACCATTAAAACATAGTCACTAAGAGGGGAAAGCAACCATGGACAATTCAGCTGGGTGTTTAACAGAGAAAATGGCATCCAAATTACTTGGATGTGTTGGAATTTGTTGTTCGTGAAATTACCAGAGAGACCAAAGATCTACATGGATCTCAACCTCAAAACATCCTCTCATCTGGCCATTTTTGGATGGCAATAAGAGTTGCAAAGGAAGCTCTTTGAGTTCAGTGGGCTGTCTTTTTTTAATCCTTATTTTACCAGGTAAATTGACAGGGGAGAGGAGAGGGGATGAATGAGCCAATTGGAAGCTGGGGATGATTAGGTGGCCATGATGGTATGAGGGCCAGATTGGGAATTTAGCCAGGACACCGGGGTTAACACCCCTACTCTTACGATAAGTGCCATGGGATCTTTAGTGACCACAGATCTTTAGTGATCTTTAGTGGGACGTTAAAAGGACACCCTTTTAACGTCCCATCCAAAAGACGGCACCCTACACAGGGCAATGTCCCCAATCACTGCCCTGGGGCATTGGGATATTTTTTGGGACCAGAGGAAAGAGCGTCTCCTACTGGTCATCCAAAACCACTTTCAGCAGCATCTGGTCTCCCATCCAGGAACCAACCCTGCTTAGCTTCAGAGGCAACCCAGCAGTGGGATGCAGGGTGGTATGCTGCTGTCAATGCTTGAAGAGAAATGTACCATCATCTATCCTATAATTGTATGAAACCCTCTTGTAATAAGAATAGCCTCTTTGATCAAAGGGTTGGACCGCAAAGTACAAGCTGAGTGAGACCTTACTGTTGTGCTCTACAACCCAAGTCCTATCTGTGCCTGTTTGAAATATTCCCCTCCACACCACAACTGAAAGCTTTGCTTGGACAGCGCAGCATCGAAATTAAGAAGTAGAAGTCCATTTTAGTGAAGGACTGAAATTATGGTTAACTTGCAAACTGGCAACATGTTCTTTTGCAATCGCTCCTTTTTCCTGAAAGTACTCTTTGCCCTTTCGAATATGCAGTTCAAAACTTCTCCCAACTCCAGAAATAAGACACTGAGCGATCTGTCTAAACTTAGAACCTGACATCATTTCTTCGTCATTTTCCCCGATTGTTCGAGACCGTTCATAATAGAGAATGCTTTACGAGATAAAAAATAACATTGACTAGCTGACTCCCTCTCTCTCTAGTTGTCCCAGACCCATTATTCTTAGTTCCCTATTTGCTCAAACGTTCATTAGCAACAAGCAGGTTTAAATATAACAAAACATTTGTTCTCCAACGACGGATCGTGAAGCGCTTGAAACTGCAACGTTTCTGTTTGCTTGGAATGTCTGTGATGATAAAGTGCCCATGCTCGAGTGAGAATGTCCTTGCGCTATACGTATTCATGTCCCCCCACCCCCCTCCGCTAACAATTGCTTCATTATGTCTGCTGTGCTCACAATTAGCTCTAAGTACTATTTCCTTTCCACTGTGCTGGCTAATACAGATGCGCTGGTGAGTAAGAGAACACAACCACTTTCTACATCTCTCTCCCACCATACGTTTCTCTCCATCCCTCTCTACCACTCTTTCTCCCTATCTTCTCTCTGCCCCGCCTCACCCCATGAATTAAGTTGTCCTGATAAACGTTTTGGGAATGCTGTAGCTCAGCAAGAGGAGAGTGGTTGTAAAAGGGTGGAGGGTAACCGAAAGGGAACGGTATGTTTCTTACTTAAAGAGGGGAGAGCCCAGCGGCAGCCCCTTCCGTTTATTCGCTCTCACACTCTCCCTATTTTGTGAACAGGGGCCTAGTCCCATAGTCTGTCTCTGATTTAATGTCCCATGATAGCCTGACCTCAGAGCAGATGTGTGTATGTCCATGTGTGAGTGCGTGCGTGCATGCTTGAGTTTGAGTGTGTGTGTTTGAGTGTGTGTGTCATCAGCTCGCTTAACCACCGCTGCGCATTAAAAGTCTTTCTTAATGACCCTGCTTTAAAATTTCTCTCAAACAAGCTCTTTGGGGAGAAGGGGGAGGGGCATAAAAGGCAGGCAGGCAAAGGGGCGAGAGTGAAAAGTGAGAGAGTGAGAGAATACAGGAAAGGGCCGGGAGAAGTGGTGGGGCCCGTTTGGGGTGGGGATCCTGCCTGTCGGACAGTAATGGCATCGTGAGAGAGAAAGACAGAGAGGGGGAGAAGAGAGAGAGGGGGAGAGAGCGAGGGAGGGAGCAGGACACATCCATCACCATCACAATCAGCTGCCATTGAGGCTCCCTTGTGTGTGCATGTGAGTGTGTGTGTAAATCTGTGCTAAGCTGTCTGTAGACAGGAAGGGCCCATCTCCAGACGTGTGAGGGAGTGTGTGTCTGTTGTGGCCCCCGGAGCCCAAGAATGTTGTTCCTTAGCTGGGGAGGGAGGTATCTGCCCATCCCATCTCATCACGGTATGGCACCGCGCAGCACAGCTAGCCTCCCACGCTAGATGTAGGAGTCGCGCATAAATACATAGCGCCGTAACTCGCTGCCTGGCACTTTGAGTTGAGTGGAAGGTCCGATAGCCAGAGTGGAATATTCCAACTGGCTCTTATCTTAGACACAATAGTGTCCACATACAGGCCGCGTTTATTTTCCCATGAGTGGAGATACAGGACATTAAACATTCCGCTTCTGGACAACATCACTGAGGCCACCAATGGCACAATACGTATATATGAAGCCACGGGCCTATATCAAATGAACTTGAACAATATATCAGGCAAATAATATACATCATCAATAACAGACTTTTGTGAAATATCGAGTCATCACAAGAAATACACAGTTTATTAGGTACACCACCCCGTTCACAAAAATTGTTCGCTCCTACAGACAGTGAGTCACGTGGCCTTGGCTTGCTATATAAAGCAGGCAAACAGGCTTCGAGACATTCAGTTACAGTTCGATTGACCGTTACAATGGGCAAAACAAGTGACCTAAGCGACTTTGAGCGTGGTAGGATCGTCGGTGCCAGACACGCAGGTTCCAGTATCTCAGAAATGGCCAGCCTCCTGGGCTTTTCATGCACGACAATGTCCAGGATTTACAGAGAATGGTGCAGTACAACAGTGGTGTGTAGAACGGCATCTCGGAATGCAAAACTCGTCGGTCCTTGTCACGGATGGGCTATTTCAGCAGACGACCACACCGGGTTCTACTCCTATCACCTAAAAACAAGAAGAAGCGGCTCCAATGGGAATACAATCACCAACACTGGACAACGCCTGGTCCAACACATCCTGGTTCCTGTTGCATCATGCTGATGGCAGAGTCAGGATTTGGCGTAAGCAGCATGAGTCTTTTGCCCCATCCTGCTTGGGGTCAACTGTACAGGCTGATGGCGGTGGTGTAACGGTTTGGGGAATGTTTTCCTGGAACACGTTAGGTCCCTTGAGCAACGTTTCAACGCCACACCTTGTAGAATCCATGCCACGAAGAATTCAGGCTGTTCTGGAGGCAAAGTGGGGTCCGACCCGGTACTAGATGGGTGTACCTAATAAACTGGTATAGAGTGTATAGAGATAAATATATCCTGTCAAACTCATCAATCTATTATTGATTACATTTTGGCAGTACATTAAGTTAACTTTTCCCTCCTTTTCCACCTCTGCTGGACAATACAGCAAAAATGAATTGAGATGACTTAAATGGAGCCACAATAAATATATCAGGGAACTTTAGTAAGATATCAAGTGAAAACATCAAATGATTCTCAGTCCACTGTTGTATACGTTTCTATGAAGCCCTGTGGGTCTTTTCTTCTTTGCTCCGTGTCTGGCCCTTTGGAGTAGGTGCTAGAGACGTGAGACATTCATGTTCATGCTGACAGTGAAGACACACAAACCCTTGGCTCAGCCATGTTGTGGGAGTGCCCCCTTGGTCTAATGGCAGGGCTGAATTACCCTCTCTGTCAGTGCCTGCCACACCAACCCTACAACTACGTCTGGGGCTACCTCATTCGCGAGCTAAAATGGCCTTCGCCAGGGCCGACTCAAATAGATGTTTGTTTTCTCACCGCACAGATTCTGCTTTACAGAGGTAGGCTTACAACTTTCAACTTTACATTTTGGATGGCAAAAAACAAGAGACGTAAGCGATGCTTTCCTGAGTTGATTTTACAGTGCGCGCCTCATATTCGGCGTATGAGCGCACACTTGAGTCACTTTACAAGCTGGCACGGACAGAGGGCATTGACCCGTGTCTGCAGCCAGATGTGCTGGATGGAGTCTTTCAAAGGCGAGTGGCTCAGACAAAGCTCATTATGAGCTGGGAGGGGTGTCGGCGAGGAATGCAGGGGAGTCAAGCATCAACAGGCTCTGTTCGGAGCGCGTGCAGGTTGTTATATATATTTTTTTTATTAGATATTTTTTTTGTCAGGGTGTGGAGCAGAGAGGAGAAGCTCGAGGAGTTAACGTTCTTACAAACAGGCCTTCGTTGGAAAGGGGCGCGTCTGGTCGGTAAAGGTTGCCGTTTAAAAATAAACCCCACCAACTTCCTCCCGCCCCTAGACTCATCAACCGGGAGTAGGGGGAATAGTATCAGGGGGCGGCTGGAGTGAGGGGTGAGGGGGCCTGTAAAGCTTGATACCCTGCCAAAGATGGGTAAATGTGGAGGGGGCGGTGGGTCCTGGCAGTCTAACAACACGCGGTAGGGGTGGGGCAGCGGCAGCAGCCCTCACTGTTAAGCCCTCACGTAGCCGGGTGTTCTCTCTCCCGGTCCCATCCATATGACAGTCTTAAATATAGAGCTACCCTCTATTAATACCCACACGCAAACCAGCCCTGCCCTGCTGCACTCTGTCTCTGCCCCCTCCTCTCCTTCCCTCCCTCCCCATTGGGAAAAGCTTTCCTACCCAGGACTGGCGAGGGAGAGTGGGAAAGGGAGAGAGATGGAGAGGGATTAGCTTTCCGATCAACGTGTACAGTGTGTATCTTTGGCAAGTCGGACCCGAGCACTATTTGGTAACCTTCCAAAGGATATTCCTTTTTCATCCTGCCGGCAGCCAAGAACTCATGTGCACGAGGCACAAGACCTAGCACCATTACATCACATTCCCCCTTGTCTCCAAATCAAACTTTTCCTCCTGCCAGAGGCTTGGGAGGGGGGGGGGGGGGGGGGGGGGGGGTTAGAATCGACACAGACTGTCCACCCAGTCGCCCCTCTTCATTACATTGACACCCTCAGCCAAAGCTTCTTTTTCCATCCAGGATGAGCCAAAGCAATTCACTGCTAAATGAACTTATACCTAGAGGAGAATCTAGAAGAGAATACAAGAGTCCTATACCATAGCCGAACACATTTTTAAAGACTACTGTGAAGAATAAAATAAAACACACATCAAACAAACCAAAGAAAACGCGTGTACGCTCTTCCGAGAGTGGAACTTTTGAACTAAGGAACAAAGAACTAAGAGCAGCCCCGAGATTCAAATTCAGGACGCGGCAGGATACAAGCCAAACAGACAAAGGGTGTGTGAATATGAGAAGAGAGGTGTGGTGTGTGTGTGAGTAAGTGTGAGAGCCAGACAGAGAGAACACGGTGTGCTAGGAGGGCTCGAGCCCTGGATGTTGACTTACTTGCGTGTGCGACGGCACAGAAGGGGCCGACCAGGCCCAGCAAGAGCAGCAGCTGAACTTTGATCATGGTGACAAGTAGTCTTCTCCTTCGGTCAACGGCGTACAGAGGCCACCAGGGCAAAGAGCAACACTAGACCCTATCACACACAGCACCACCCGCACTGGAGTCTCAAGGGAGGTAGCAAAAAAGATAAAAAAAGGTATTGAGGAAAAAGTTTCAGAAAAAGTCCCAGGGAACTTGTTGCGGTTGTAGATACAGACTTTGGCCGTCAGCGGCGGCGAAGGCAGACGGCTTCGGAGGCTGAGGGAGAAAGGCGTGGAGCGCTCAAGGGATGTCAACAGGGCAGAAGAAGAGAGAGAGAGGAGGTCTGGCTGCTTGGTAGAATGGAGAGAGACAGGCACAGGGCAAGGGAGAGAGAGAGAGTGAGTGTGTCGGCAGTGGAGGTGGGGTGCTGGTGCTGGTGGGGTGTGTGATGGGGAGGGAGGGAGGGGGGGCTGAGCAGTGTAAGGTGGTCTCAGCCCTGGTCCTGCCTCCCTACTTGAACAGGCCAGTCCCGAGTGAGCCCCACTCTTCATGCAGTCCACCCCTCTCCAGTCCACCGTGAGGCTGCTGACTGCCTTGCAATACCAGCAGCACACACAGAAATACTGTATATACAAAAACATTTATACACACAAAGTAGACTCCACAAAAACGTATGCAATTTGTTGCATACAAATATACCCTCAAAACACCTTCTATCCACACAAAACCTTTACAGTGAGTGGGGGAAAACATTCTAAACAATGTTTTTTGTTGTTCGAATTCTCCTTCATAAGCAATCCAATTGGATCAAATTACACCAGGAAATAAGTTATAATGTATTTAATCATCAGATTGTGATCTTAGGTTCAGCTAATGGTAAGTTTTCCCAATACACTTCCCATACATTTGACTAAAAGGAGTGCCCGTTAGTTCTATGGAGAAGTCTATAGGCATTACACTACTGTTTTAATAGATGTAAATGGATTAGGTTAACATACAGGCATTGTTGACAGAGAGTGGCCTCCACAGTAAATGCAGTTAGAACACTATGTGACTTTAACACATGGGTCATGGTGGTCCAAAGAGTTGACGAAAGTGCAAACACGCTCTAGTTTTGCACACTAGCGACATCTGTTGGAGAAAAAGAAGCATGGTGTGTAAAGTTTAGGAAATAAGAGATACATTATTTGATTAGTTAATAGCTTGAGAGAGAGAGAGAGGGGGGGGGGAGGAAGAAAATAAAAGGGAAAAAATGAAAGATGTATGTACCTGCAGCACCAAAGTAACTGTGTGTAACACATTTTTATCACTTTCTAAATTATTTACGAGTTCACTCATAAGGAATTATACTTTTTTCTGCAGATATAAAGCTTCTTCGGGGTGAATCCTAACTTCCACATAAGTAGAATTTTCAATTAGTCTCCCATTGTCATCATGTGAAAATTAGATTTAGGTGGAAGTTAGGACTTGCCTCATTATGTTTAGTTTGACAATTTAGACCAATTAATTGCTGTACTCATGTCCATAGACATCACTTTTAAGCTAGCCAAAGATTGTTGTGTGCCCTCCTCAAGACATATCAGAATTAAAAGATGTCTTACCATGAGCCAAAGTGAAGTTGACACTTTATTTTTTGGAAATAAAGTATTCAGACACATTGACTTTTTCAACATTTTGTTAAGTTACAGGCTTATTCTAAAATGTATTACATTGCAATCTACACACAATACCCCATAATGACAAAGCAAAAACAAGTTTTTAGAAATGTTCACAAATGTATAAAAAATACAAATCTGAAATATCACATTTACATTAGTATTCAGACCCTTTAGTCAGTACTTTGTTGAAGCACCTTTGGCAGGGATTGCAGCCTCAAGTATTTTTGGGTATGATGCTACAAGCTTGGTACACCTTTATTTGGGTAGATTCTCCCATTCTTTGTAGATCCTCTCAAGCTCTGTCAGGTTGGATGGGGAGCGTCCAACATCTCCAGAGATGTTCGATCGGGTTCAAGTCCGGGCTCTGGCTGGGCCACTCAAGGACATACAGAGACTTGTCCTGAAGCCACTCCTGCATTGTCTTGGCTGTGTGCTTAGGGTCGTTGTCCTGTTGGAAGGTGAACCTTCACCCTAGTCTGAGGTCCTGAGCACACTGGAGCAGGTTTTCATCAAGGATCTCTCTGTCCTTTGCTCCGTTCATCTTTCCCTCGATCCTGACTAGTCTCCCAGTCCCTGGCTGCTGAAAAACATCCCCACAGCATGATGCTGCCACCACCATGCTTCACCATAGGGATGGTGGCAAGTTTCCTCCAGACGTAACGCTTGGCATTCAGGCCAAAGAGTTAAATCTTGGTTTCATCAGACCAGAGAATCTTGTTTCTCATAGTCTGAGAGTCTTTAGGTGCCTTTCGGCATACTCCAAGCGGGGGCTGTCATGTGCCTTTTACTGAGGAGTGGCTTCAGTCTGGCCACTATACAATAAAGGCCTGATGGTGGAGTGCTGCAGAGGGTTTTGGGTCCTTCTGGAAGGTTCTCTCTCTCCAGGAACCTGGAGCTGTCAGAGTGACATCAGGTTCTTGGTCACCTCCCTGACCAAGGCCCTTCTCCCCCGATTGCTCAGTTTGGCCGGGCGGCCAGCTCTAGGAAGGGTCTTGGTGGTTCAAAACGTCATCCATTTAAGAATGGAGGCCACCTTCAATGCTGCAGAAATGTTTTGGTACCCTTCCCCAGATCTGTGCCTCGACACAATCCTGTCTCTGAGCTCTACGGACAATTCCTTCGATCTCATGGCTTGGTTTTTGCTCTGACATATACTGTCAACTGTGGGACTTTATATAGAAAGGGGAGTGCTTTTCCAAATCATATCCAATCAATTGAATTTACCACAGGTGGACTCCAATCAAGTTGTAGAAACATCAAGAATGGAAACAGGATGCACGGGAGCTCAATGTTGAGTCTCATAGCAAAGGGTCTGAACACTTATGTAATTTTTGGTTGTTGTTGTCATTATGTCGTATTGTGTGAAGATTGGAGGAAATTGCTTATTTAATCAATTTTAGAATAAAGCTGTAATGTAACAAAATGTGGAAAAAGTCAAGGGGTCTGAATACTTTCCGAATACACTGTATTGGAGAAATTATTGTGAGCAAGAATCATTCCTATACCATGGATGTTTAAAAAATATATATATATAACTGTGATCATACAAATGTATCATTTCATTGGGTTGGACAGTAGACACCAAAATTGGCCCAAAAAGACAAAAGAAAGACAACAAAATGAAGGTAAATTAAGTAAAATTGATCAATAACATTTTAATAAACATTGAAACTTTTGTAACTATAGGACTGCAGTACACGGAAGAGTGTCACACAAAAAGACAACGCATTTGATCACATAAACAGTACCAGTCAAAAGTTTGGACACACCTACTCATTCAAGGGTTTTTCTTTATTTTTACTATTTTCTACATTGTAGAATAATAGTGAAGACATCAAAACTATGAAATAACATGTATGGAATAATGTAGTAACCAAAAAAGTGTTAACCAAATCAAAATGTATTTTAGATTTTAGGATTCTTCAAAGTAGCCACCCTTTGCTTTGTTAACAGCTTTGCACACTCTTGGCATTCTCTCAACCAGCTTCACCTGGAATGCTTTTCCAACCGTCTTGAAGGAGTTCCCACATATGCTGAGCACTTGCTGGCTACTTTTCCTTCACTCTGCGATCCGACTCATCCCACACCATCTCAATTGGGTTGCGGTCAGGTGATTGTGGAGGCCAGGTCATCTGATGCAGCACTCCATCACTCTCCTTCTTGGTCAAATAGCCCTTACACAGTCTGGAGGTGTGTTGGGTCATTGTCCTGTTGAAAAACAAATGATAGTCCCACTAAGCCCAAACCAGATGGGATGGCGTATCGCTGCAGAATGCTGTGGCAGCCATGCTGGTTAAGTGCGCCTTGTATTCTAAATAAATCACAGACGGTGACACCAGCAAAGCAGCCCTGCACCATCACACCTCCTCCTCCATCCTTCATGGTGGGAACCACACATGCGGAGATCATCCGTTCAACTACTCTGCGTCTCACAAAGCCACGGCGGTTGGAACCAAAAATCTCAAATTTGGACTCATCAGACCAAAGAACAGATTTCCACCGGTCTAATGTCCATTGCTCGTGTATCTTAGCCCAAGCAAGTCTCTTCTTCTTATCGGTGTTCTTTAGTAGTGGTTTGTTTTCAGCAATTCGACCATGAAGGCCTGATTCACGTCTCCTTTGAACAGTTGATGTTGAGATGTGTCTGTTACTTGAACTCTGTGAAGCATTTATTTGGGCTGCAATTTCTGAGGCTGGTAACTCTAATGAACTTAACCTCTGCAGCAGAGGTAAGTCTGGGTCTTCCTTTCCTGTGGTAGTCCTCGTGAGAGCCAGTTTCATCGTAGCGCTTGATGGTTTTTGCGACTGCACTTGAAGAAACATTCAAAGTTATTGACATTTTCCGGATTGACTGACCTTCATGTCTTAAAGTAATGATGGACTGTCGTTTTCTCTTTGCTTATTTGAGCTGTTCTTGCCATAATATGGTCTTGGTATTTTACCAAATATGTCCATCTTCTGTATACCACCCCTACCTTGTCACAACACAACTGATTGGCTCAAACACATTAAGGAAAGAAGTTCCACAAATTAACTTTTAACAAGGCACTCCTGTTAATTGAAATGCATTCCAGGTGACTACCCCATGAAGCTGGTTGAGAGAATGCCAAGAGTGTGCAAAGCTGTCATCAAGGCAAAGGGTGGCTATTTGAAGAATCTCAAATATAAAATATATTTTGATTTGTTTAACACTTATTTGGTTACTACATGATTCCATATGTGTTATTTCATAGTTTTGATGTCTTCACTAGTATTCTACAATGTAGAAAGTAGTAAAAAATAAAGAAAAACCCTGGAAGGAATGATTAGGTGTGTCCAACATTTTGACTGGTACCGTATACAGTTGAAGTCCACCTTAGCCAAATACATTTAAACTCAGTTTTTCACAATTCCTGACATTTAATCCTAATAAGAAATCCATGTTTTAGGTCAGTTAGGTTCACCACTTTATTTTAAGAATGTGAAATGTCAGAATAATAGTAGAGAGAATTATTTATTTCAGCTTTTATTTATTTCATCACATTCCCAGTGGGTCAGAAGTTTACATACACTCAATTAGTATTTGGTAGCATTGCCTTTAAATTCTTTAACTTGGGTCAAACATCGTGGGTAGCCTTCCACAAGCTTCCCACAATAAGTTGGGTGCATTTTGGCCCATTCCTCCTGACAGAGCTGGTGTAACTGAGTCAGGTTTCTAGACCTCCTTGCTCGCACACACTTTTTCAGTTCTGCCCACAAATGTTCTATAGGATTGAGGTCAGGGCTTTGTGATGGCCACTCCAA